GATAAATCGAGCTTAAACTTTTAGCCGATGTTTTCACTGAACTGCTTTTGCATTTTATTGTTTGACTTCATTATCCTCACTGCCATTTTTTCTCCTTTAACGGATTCCATGTGTGACTTCTCCCGCCTTAAAACTATGATTTTTCTAATCAAAGGATACTAGAAGTTTCCCTCTACATGTAAAGCACGGCAATAACCTCTCACAAAAGACAGCTGAAAATATCATGATGCAAATCCGATTGAATTTTGCCTTCCTCACCACACTCTTTGCTTCGTAGCTGTTAGTTGGTCTCATTGCGCAACGGGCTCTGTCTTCCCCACAGGAGCACACTGCATAATTGCGTTCAAACGAATCATTTCAAGAATTAGACCCAACGTGCACGTGAATAAATAACCAGACAGCATGTTCGCGAAAGTAAATTTAACATCTTCAACTGATACAAGTAAGAATTGCGTCCATTTCATTTTCTAGCAAACGCAAAGGTTACGAGTCCTTAAAGAGGGTAAATGGAGACGAGTGTATTTGTTATTTAGTTAGTGTTGCCATATGCTACTGTTGAATAAGACGAATTCTATGTTTGCTTTTGTATGTAATAGGAACTGTCTAAGAATTATCGCAGTTTAACAAGCATGCGTAGTAATGCTATAGTGTGTATCATAATATTATACTGACGCATTCGAAGTTCTTTCTTCATCTCTTCACAGGTTTCATGAAGACTGGCCACCCCAAGAAAGAAAAGAAAGGACAACTATCTGACTATTATACTTGGAGACGAAATGCGTGTGTAACTTTGTAAAAGTTGTCATCCTTGTGGTATCGACATCTTCTCATACGCATGTATATTAAGTCAGACATCTGTCGACCAAATTATTTACGTTTGAAAATAAATTGATTTTCCCTTTCCTAACTTTGTTATATTGTTAATATCATGTTTTAACAAAGATACTGAGTCAATGAGGAAAGGCAGAGAGTGCTAAGGGGTCAAAGTTTAGGGGATCAGGCTCATAGCATCCGGAACTGATTGAGAAATAATCACAAGAATATCTGGTGACTTTAATAACAATAGAATGTTCTTTGCGCAAGAGTCACGAGTTATGATGGAAAATTTAGTCTTCAGCGATCACTACAAGACGTGGCATCTTTCGCGAGTTCGTCCTACTTGTCCTCAGACCTGACACTCGCGGAAAATTTGACTCTCCCCCTCCCTTCCTTCTCCTTTTTTCGTTTATATGTTTGTGTATTCTGGGCACTCATCTTTTTTTTATCGTGCCCTCACCTACGCTAGAGCTTGACAAATTTAATATCGTTAATGATTAATCATAAAGGGTTTAATTTTTAGACAACAAACCGGCCATCTTGAGTGACCTAAATTGATCTCGACACAAACTAGTGTTAGAAGCTCGATACTGACAACGTCAAATCTATCAGAGTAACGTACACGTCTTGCAAGAGAGAGTGAAATTTCCTTCCAAATTTCTCCTTCCTCTCCACGCGGATACTTCCGCGGGCCTTTTTTTTCTTATTCGCTTCCTCTGGAAATCTGAAGCAACCCGAAAACTACGAATGCGTCAACTCACCTAATTCTGTTTTGTTTGACTGGCAATTAATTAATACGATATCATCAAACCAGTTTGAATACACTATAAGAATTCATCATATCAAATCGCATGAAAAGTACACCCCCGATTAGAGGGTTTATGAATATAAACATAACCATTTTACTGTATCAGGTTTCTCTTTTTTTCACATCGTCCAGTAGCATGAAATTCGTTCTTGTTATTATTATTGGAAAAAACATGTTTCGTTTTCTGGCTCTGCCATTCTTAATTGTGTAGACGAAAAGCTATATAAAGACCTAATGAAAGAACTTTCAACGATAAACAAACGATTTCTTTGAAAATACACAAATGGATGTATTGCTTTCTTACCTGTAATCACAACACAATCATCTTGCAGCGTTCAATCCACGTTGACATTATAATTCCTGAATTGATAATTGACTAATAATTCCTGAATTGCTGCAGCCTTCTAAGAAACAAAAGTTCACCTACTAAGCAATAATTGGAGAAAAATATTTAACAATTAGACAGGTAATTGCACCATATAATTCATGACAAAACGGAAAAATATAACAAGTGACTTAACGGAAAAATCCTTTACTCTGGAAGAACTATCGGCTTTATAACTGCGTGCGCTACGCGCGCTGTACGCACGTTAAACACGTTTTGCATGGGAAGGCTTTTGTTTTCAATAATTTTGATTAAACGCAACTCAGAAGCGAAAAGTTCGAGAAGATAAAATACACAAATTTCATCAAAACCAAACAACATTTTTTCTTGCTTGACCCTTCACTATAATTAATGAACCGAAGTTCGAACCTCTAACTAAGCGTAAATTCACTGCCATGATTGCTGCAATATCAAAAAGTGATTATGAAACTCGATTAGAAAATAAATGGTGGGTTCTAACAGTAAAACGCAACATCTACACCTAAGCAATTTGGTTTCTCTTTAGGATATATATAAGACGTAAAACATTTTAACCTGTTATCACATTAAAATATCGGCTTCAATTTACAATGCACGTTAACATCAGTAAACATCGATACATTCAGTTTTCAAAGAAGCAATTATTCATCAGCAGAGCGTGCGAGATAATGACGAAACAATCGGAAAAAATGTAACCCTAAGGGGACGCGAGATAATAACGAAACTTGTGAATCAAGTGCAACCCTAATGGAACAGGAAATCTTTACAAAGAAACGACTAAAAAAAGAGATGTAAAAGTGCTTAACATATTGAATTAAACATCAATTGCAATACAATCCTTTGCAAGCGCGAGAAAATAAGAAAATTTGGAAATAAAATGTAATATTATTAACGATTAATAACGATGAAATCGAATAAATGTAATCCTTAGAGTGCACTAAGATACGAACGAAACAAACAAATAAAATGTAATCCTAAGAGCGTGCTTCATACTAACAAAAAAATCGAATAAATATTAGCCTTTAGAGTACGCGAGATGCCAACAAATCATAAAAATAAAATTTAGTCCTTAAGGCGTGCGAGATACTAACAAAATAATCAAATGAAATATGTTCTTTAAAGTGCACAGGATATTGACAAAAAAAAATTGGTAGTAAAATCCGTAGCGTGCGTGAGACACTAACAAAAATATCAAATTAAATGTAATCCTTAGCGAGCGCTGGACACTGTAATCCTAATCCTAAGTGTGCGCGAGATACTGAAGAAACATACCATTAAAATGTAATCTTAAGTGTACGCTAGATATTAATGAAACCATCGATTGAAATCTAATCCTTAGTATGAGCTAGACAGTAACCAAACAATATATTAAAATGTAATTCTATGTGTGCGCGAGATACTGACAAACAATCCATTGAAATGTAATCCTATGTGTCCATGAGATACTAATAAAACATAACATTCAAATGTATTCCTAACTGAGCGGCAGATATTAACGAAACAATCCAATGAAATTTAATCCTAAATGTGCGTTCAATACTGAGGAAACAAATAATGTAAATATAATCCTAATTGCGCAGAAAATACTAAGGAAACAATCCATTGAAATGTAATCCCAAGTGTGCGCGAGATACGAACAAAGCAATCGATTAAGACGTAATCCTACGTGTGCGCGAGACAATCGATTGAAATGGAATCCTGAATGTGCGCGAGATACTAACGAAACAATCGATTAAAATATAATTAAGTCCTCTCTAGATACTAACAAATCAATCGATTAAAATGTAATCCTAAGGGTGCGGTAGATAATAACAAAACAATCCAATGAAATGAAATACTAAGTATGCGCAAGTTACTAACGAAACAGTCGATTGAAATGTAATCCTAAGAGTGCGCGAGATGCTTACAAATAAAAATAGAAGTGTAATGTCTAGTCTGTGCTACATACTAAAGTAATAATCCATTGAAATGTAATGTAAATGTTAGCTAGATACTAACGAAAAATCAATTGAAATGTAATCCTAAGGGTGCGCTATATGCAAACAAAACAATGGAATGAAAAGTATTCCTAAATGTTCGCTACAACCTAACGAAAATAACGACAGAAATGTAACCTTAAGTGTGCGCAACATAGTGACAAAACAATGGATTAATATGTAATCCTAAGTGTGCGCATGATACTAAGTGTGTGTGAGATACTACCTAAACATAATATTGAAATGTAATCGTTAGTGTCGGTGATTTATCAACAAAACATTAAGATTCAAACGTAATCTTAAGTGTGTCTTAGGTGTTAACGAAACATAAGATTGAATGTAGTCCAAAGTTTCCACGAAATAGTAACGAAACATAAGATTCAAGTTTAATCCTAACTGAGGACTTGATATAAATGATCGATTTAATTGTAAACCTTAGTGTGCGCTCTATAGTAATCAAACAATAGATTAAAATGCAATCCTAAGTGTGGACGAGATACTTACGGAAAATACGATTCCTTATTGTATGCGCGCCGTAATGGCTGCCACGTTTATAGGAGTTCCGCTGATTTTACTGATGCTAGGGTTTTTAAGCCTCCGTCTGGACTTAATTTTCACCTTGAAGCGTTCTCATTCAAGTTTGCTTTCTTTTGGCTGCTTTTTGTCGTCCGGTTGTTCAAGTAATTTGAGCTATTCGGCCGTTGGCTTTCGGTGCTCACAACGATGTGATGTTCACTCACCTAAACGAGCCGTTTCTCTTTGGAGCAAGCGTGGCAATTTGTGTCTCTATCTGCCTTCTGCTGTTTTCCCTATCGATCTTACTATCTACATGGATGTTCAGCGTAATCCTGGCCCTTCGAATTAACTTTGGAAATTCAATGCCTATCTTTGCCGAGAGAACATTTACCACATCAACACCTTCGATCCTTCTTCACACCTCCCCTCTGGCTTTCGTTTTATGTATTCCCCCTCGACTCTCTGTAACTTGAGTTCTTATACCTATATTTCACTGGAACTTCGTAATCATTTAAAGGCTATGTGTCTCTTGAAAAAGCGAAGAGGTAACCGAGGTGGACGGCGATACGGCAATAAAATTCCAGTTCGAATCAAAGCTCGTTTGGAGCTGAATTATGTGGATGGTATTTCTGCAAATCGACGGCGTTGTTTGTCCAATTTGGTTACCGTTTGTAAACAACCTTTTCACTCGTCGCTGAATACTTCTCAACACGATATATCTGCATTCAATAAAATCAAGTTTGCATTATGGAATGCCCAGTCCCTTCAGAAAAAATCTGGATCAGTATGCGACATCATTTCATCAAACCGATTAGATATTTTCGCCATCACAGAAACTTGGCTAAATTGCAAAGGAAACAACATCTCATTAGCCGAGATTTTAAATACAGTGAAAGACTTTAAAGTCATCCAAATCCCCAGAGAAAACGCGAAAGGTGGCGGCGTAGCATTGTTTCTCCGGAAAGCCTTCACAATGACAAGAAACTCGGGCTCTAATTTTACATCTTTTGAACACCTAGACGTTTACATATCACATGGAAAGTTCAAAATACGTCTGGTCCTGATTTATCGTCCCCCACCATCGAAGAAGAACAAGTTAACAACACTGATTTTCTTTGAAGAGTTTTCCCAACTAGTTGAAATTTTAACGGAGGACTGCACTCATCCACTGGCTATTGTTGGAGATTTTAATTTCCATGTGGACACCCCAAACAATCAAGATGCTCTTAAATTCAACGATCTATTAGATTCTATGAACCTAGTCCAACATGTTGAAGGTTCTACTCACCGAGGTAACCATACCCTCGACTTGATTATCACTAGAAGGGAAGAAGAATTAATAGCTAATGTCCAAGTGCTACCTGACGTCTATTCTGACCACAAAGTGGTCAGCTGCACAATGAACTATTCCAAACCACCATCTTCAAAAGTACTAATCACATATAGATCTACGAAGACCTTGGATGCTACTAAGCTGCAAACCGATATCAATAATATCCTTTCAAAGATAGATTCCTTGTTTGAACCGTCACTGGATCACTTGATGTCTCTATACAATAGAGACCTTAAAGATATCTACAATACTGCGGCACCAATTCAGTCTAGATGGATTAAACAACGTTTCCATGCACCATGCTATAATCAAGATCTACGGCAAGTCAAACGTGAAAAACGTCCACTGGAGCGCAAATTAAAAAAATCCGGCCTGGTAGTTGATCAACAAAAATTTGAATCAAAATGTGTTGAATATAATTCTTTAATTGAAACAACAAAAATGCACTTCTATAAATCTCGGATAGAACAGACCGATCGGAATCAGCTCTTCAGACTTATTGACGGCTTCTTCAAGATAAAAAACACTGCGTTGCCTACTTATGACTCTCTTAAACAACTTACTGAAGATTTTAACAACTTTTTTATAAACAAGATTAGAGACATACATAAGGAACTATCCGACCTTTCGAACAACACCCATCTACTTCATAATATGGAAAAAAGAAATATTCACTGTGAGCTCTCTGAATTCATCCCACCGTCAAACAAGAATACTAAAGACGTTATGATGTCATTCTCGAACAAGACCAACACATATCGAACAACACATATCGTTAAAGACAACATAAACTTATTACTACCTCTTATCAGTAAATTGTTAGAAAACCCGTCGAAACTGGAGTCTTCCCAACTTCTTTGAAAACCTCACTGGTTCTTCCGAAACTGAAGAAACCTAATCTCGAGCCTGATTTGTTTGCCAATTATAGACCCATAGCCAATATTCCATTTGTCTCTAAGATAATTGAAAAGTCTGAACTACCATGGACTATTTCCTTCCTTACAATCTGCATACAGGAAACATCACTCAACAGAATCTGCTCTACTTAGAGTTAGTAATGATATTTTTAGGATACTTGACTCTCAAGGCGAAGCAATTCTGGTTCTACTTGATCTATCAGCAGCGTTCGATACCATAGACCATCATCTTCTGCTCACGAGACT